GAAGGGTTTCGTGTGAACAGCCGTTGCACACGAGTCAGTCGATCCTAAGCCCTAGGAGAAATCCTATGTTGATGATGGTGTTTCTTTTATATATAAAAACAATATATATTAATTGTTACACACCCGTTGGGCGAAAGGGAATCCGGTTCCAATTCCGGAACCCGGCAGCGGAACCGCATACAATTCGGGCCCTCGTAAGAGTGTTCGTCGGGGTAATCCAAAATGACCTGGAGACGCCGTCGGGAGATCCAGGAAGAGTTTTCTTTTCGGTATAAGCGTTCGAGTTCCCTGGAAACTTTTAGCAAGAATATAGGGTTTGGAACGCGAAGAGCACCGCAGTTGTGGCGGAGTGTGGATCTTCCCCTCGGACCTTGAAAATCCAGGAGAGGGCCACGTGGAGGTGTCGCGCCGGTTCGTACCCATATCCGCAGCAGGTCTCCAAGGTAATGAGCCTCTAGTCCATAGAGTAATGTAGGTAAGGGAAGTCGGCAAATTGGATCCGTAACTTCGGAATAAGGATTGGCTCTGAGGGGCGGGGCGTGTCGGGCTTGGTCGGGGAGTGGGTTTGGCTAACGTGCCGGGCCTGGGCGAGGTGAATGGATCAGTAATGGTTCAGAATCCGTGCTCGGTCCCGTGCTTTGGCCTCCTGCGGTAGTGTTTCTCGATCAAGGATCGATCTTTCTTGAGATCGATTTATGAAGGGTCGATATTCGATTTTTCGGATCGATCCTTTTAAGTCGATTAAGTGGTCGGATCGATCATTTTCTTTCGAGATCGATCAGTGTTTGGTCTCCACTCGTCGAAAAAACTAAAATTAAAAGAAATTAAATTAAGTGGAACAATCGGAAGCTTTCATTAATGAAAATAAAGTCTTAAGAAATTCACGTCATCATTCGATAGATATAGTCTAAACGGTCGAAAATCTAGGTGATACTGAATAGTGTTTTAACCTCTAAATCAGGGTTTTAACCTCTAAATCAGGTAATTATCTGTCTGGGAGAAACTTGTTGGAACAAGTAATCATGGAAAATATTACTGTAACAGGTGTGTATGTGGCAATAAGAATTTGATACAACTTCGAAATGCTCTAGAAATTTTATTAATAATTTCATTTCATAATTTCAGCACATGCTCAAGGGTCGAGGAGAAATTTCTCGATTTATCTCCAGATAAACATGCAGGATCCTTACCGAATTGACTGATTGAATTTGAATCTTTATTTTCGTCTATTGAGTATGACCTTATCATTTGTAATACGATTTTACATGAAGTCCGAAATGATTGAATCATGCAATTTAAAAAATAATTTCAGATGAGAGAGGTTTCGTGGAAAAATTCCTTCGTGATTTGATTGACAGCGGTCGCGTGATAAACACTGATAATGAAATTGAAATATTCTATCGTTCTATCGATGGGATTTCTTAGTAAGTGTTTGGAATTAATTGCTGATGATTTATAAGATTATTTCTGAAATGATAATTTTTTCTCGTTCTTCAGTGAGCCTGTGAGCTTGATGGCTTGAAATCGAAGGAGGAACAATGACAAAACTCAACTGAGCTCGACTGATTTGTCAGTGTGATTTTACAAATCTAAGAATGAATATATCCTAACATTACAAATCTAACAATAAATATCTCCTATCACTTGAAACTTTGTAGATTTGTGATCGATTATTTACGTCAACGTCCCTTTTTCAAATTTTTCCCTCATTATACCTTTCCCAAACCCCAACGCCATCTTAACGTGCATATTTTGGCGCGTTTTGTCACCTAGAAGAGAGTCAGCAGAGTTTTGTTTGATGTTAAACTGTTTTTACCATCATGAAGTGTATAAAAGCTAGTAAGTTATTCCATATTATTCATCCAATTATTTATTAAGATCGTTGGAACAATGAAAAAAATACTAATAAAGCGTATGAATTGAAAAATTGCCACTTGGATCGATGTACCGGTGAAACTAACCTAGAAATGTCCTCAAATACGTATTGAATCATATTGAATGGTTTTGCTCCGCATTCTCACCCTAAATCTTGAAATTCGAGGATATTTAATGACTCAATAATCATTACTATTTTTCGGAAAGATCTTCTGAAAGATCATTCAATGTTTACTTCAGTATCAACCATGGGGACGCATTCTCTGTCGATGGAATTGATTACAAAAGTTATATGAAGATAACACGTGAGTTTGACATCCAGAAAAATCGTCAAATTGTGCATATTTGCAATTGGAAAAGTAAAATCATTTTTTTTCTCACAGAAAATAAATCTGACGCCGTAGATTTCTGTATGGAGCTGATCAGAGATGGAAGCATTACCTTAGATGATGGAAGGATCGATCAGATTGATATGAGTACTAATTGCGGCATAAATTAGTGAGTAATAGAGGTTTTGGCTGCTAAGAATCAGTTTGCATAACAACGACTCTTATGTTATCCACGAATGTTAATTGACCTGTTGCAAATTGGGAAATAAACTATAAATGTTTCAAAAATGTATGCATGTTTCAGCGTGGAGATATGCAATTATGCAAATGAGGACGACTTGGAAGATGATGCAGCACACGTGAATATATCTGATGAACAACACATTCCAGCCAGTAAAGTACAGAAAGACACAAATGTCCAAGCCCAGCCCTCAACATCGAAAAATTCCTCGGTCGAACCCAGCAATGACAAACGTGATGAACTCCTTTTCAATACTAGTTCCCATCAGCAGCATCCAAAAACTCCTGAAAATTATGCAATAAAACTACAACGATTCAAGTTCAGTGGTAACGACCTCAGTAAACTATCCAAAGAAAGTACGTATCATTAGATTTTCATTTTAATTGCCTAATTAACTCAATAACGTATCACCATTGAATCCTCAATTCATGCATGATAGGTATAAATCCTCCTAAGGCACGATCAGGCACTCCTCATGTGGAAATGAAAGGAAATCGGTGGGTTAATGGACTTTCATCATTTTCATTGTCTCTTTTTCAATTGTGAACGATATCTGTTAAATACTTCTTCATAACTTCAAATTTCGCTGCATTCCTACAATAGACAAATTCCAATAAAACCGTCGAAACCTAAAAGAAGTGGTGTTTGGGATTTTTTTATAAAAACAAAAGGTGGAGCAGAGTGTCGTCTATGTTTAAATGAGATCAAGAATCATGGGAACACTACAAACTTGATGAGACACTTGACTAACCATCATAATAACGCTGACATCAATGCCTTGAATGCACTTGCACGAACTCGAGTAATCTATCTCTGATATTTTTATTTTTTATTCAAAGTTGTCAATTTTTTTCAACTTATTCTATAAAATCCGTTCTTCTTCTAGAAACAAAAGGAAGTCAACAATAATAAAACAACTGATAATTCTGATAAATCCAAACAATCTCCAGAACGTCCATCATCGCGGGCTGAACATCAGCAACAAGTAATTCCCAATTACATGATTACAATGACTGAAAATGGATGATTTCAAAAATGATTTTTATTCGATAATGACTGATAATCGTTCTAGGAGTTCGACTCAGCCTCAGGACCATCTAACAATATGAATTATCTTCCAGAGAATCCCCTCACACAGCCCCGTATCGATAAAACATTTGGTAAAATTACAGCATTCAAAGGTATGGTTTATAGATCTATGAAGTCAGTATCGAATCTGTAATACACACAAGTTAATTTTTCACATCTTTCCAAATATTGAATTATCTTGATAATGATTGAATCACGGAGAAAATCGCATGACCCCATCTTTCCTGGAAAAAATCATAAAATCATAAATTTGCGAGATAAATGAGCAATTGATAAAACTAGCACAGTGTAATGCGACTGAATTTTATTCCATTGTCTATTCTCTTCCAGACGAATGCCAAATTAAATGGTGTTATGAATTATTTCAGAAGGTGGAGCACAAGCTGCTAAAATTAAGAATGCTATGGTGTATATGATGGCGAAAGATGACTTGCCACTATCGGCCACGGAGAAGGAAGGGTTTCGTTATCTCATGAGTGTCGTGGCTCCAAATTATGAAGTACCAAAGAAGACATCGATAACGAGAGCCACAGAAGAAAAGTACAAAGTTCTGAGTGGGATTGTGAAGAGCAAACTGGCCAAAGTAGAGAATTTGACTTTAACTACCGATATATGGACTGAGACCATGTCGACAAGAGGATTTCTAGGTCTAACGATTCATTTTCTGGAGAATGGCAAAATGTCATATATTGAATTAGATACAATAGAGCTGGATGAGAATCGCAAAGCTCCCTATCTCTCCAAGATGTTTGAAGAATTTCTGTTGAAATGGAATATTTCCAAAGACAAAATTACAACAGTAGTAACTGATGGAGGTACAAACATAGTAAAAGCAGTTAAAGATACATTTGGGGAGCATAAGCACATAACGTGCTTTGCCCACAAATTGAATGTAGCTATTTCTAATGTTATCACTGCAAACAAGGCACTGAGTTCAATAGTTACTAAAACTAAAGAGATTCTGACATATTGCAAGAGATCAACCACTGCTGCCGACGAGCTTCGCAAGGCCCAGGATGATGACAACACTTTGCGACTAGTTCAAGACGTCCCCACGCGTTGGAATTCAACATTTTACATGCTGTGTCGTTTCGAGAAATTATCAGCCACTGTCAGTTCTATTCTCTTGAAATTACGAGGTTCTCCACCTATGTTAGATTCAGACGAGATGGCCATCGTGAGGGATGCTATTAACGTATTGAGACACGCAGAGACCCTTACAAAGGAATTCAGTGGAGCCAAATACGCGACAACTAGTCGAGTGATACCTGCTATGTTCTGCTTCAGGGAGTGTCTGGCGGTAGTGCAGAACGAAACATCGATGGGGAAGAGTCTTCAAAAAGAGCTAATGGCAGAGCTGGATAAAAAATTCTCTGACCTAGACAAACTGCCCTTTTTGACCATTACTATTCTACTGGATCCACGGTACAAAAGAATGTACTTTCCTTCTCCTTTGATGTGCTCCAGTCTGCTGAGAACGGTGCATAGTATGATATCAGCTGAAACTAATGCTCCTGAGGACGAGTCTATTACTAATGACGAATCTGAGGCTACCAATAGCAGTGATGATTTGTGGACGCACCATCGAGATAGGATTCTTCATCAGAAAAGATACGCTCAAGAGGCTTCTTCAGACGATTTGAATATTGACATGATGCAGTTCCTGAACAAGCCTAATCTGATGAATATTGATCCAATAAATTTTTGGATGCATCACAAAGAAAACACACCAGCATTAGGACGCATTGTCCTGAAATATTTGTCAACAGTTGCCACATCAGTACCTTGTGAAAGACTCTTCTCATTGGCCTCGAATATCATCACAGAAAAACGGAATCGTTTGAGTGCAGAGCATCTCTCAAATCTGATTTTCCTGAAATCCCTTGATCGCCAGAATTGGCACCTATCATAAAAGACTATTGTTCGTTTTGTTTTTTCCTCATCGCACAAATTCTATAACGTATTAATATTTATAAAAAGTAAAAATCATCATAATGTTAAATAATTTATACTGTCATGAAGCTGAGTCACTTGAGTTCGTGAGATTTATACGAAGTTATAATTAGAATAATGGTGAATGATTGAAAGTATTTTTGTTGGTGAGTAGATTATCCTTTCATCGGAGGAATGCTGTGATGTTTTATAATTGATGTGGAGTGATATTTATTGGGGTGTTGAATATAATCGATTTCAAGTACTGTGGTTAGTGAGATTTCTTCTATTTCACAAATTCTCTGATGTTCTGTAGTTTAAATGAAGTTAGAATCATAATAATGTTGAATTTGTTATGTCCGGAACTAAGTGGTCGGGAAACCACGTTTAATTTAAAAATCAAATTACGCCTCCGAAGTCCCAATATCAAAAATAGTTTGAGTCAGAGTGATGCTCATAGACTCGTTCCCGAAATGTTGAGTAGTTTTTCTTGATTTTATTCAGGTGACCTTTATTACCTTAAGCCTAATTTCTATTCTCTCGTTTTGAGATGCGAGGGAATTTATGAGAAATTAGGGAGTTTTGGAAAGAAATTGAATAGACGAAATTTATGCTGAAATGTACCTTTTCTATATTCTTGATCCTTTTGTTTTACAATTTAGAGTTTTGTATTATTTTACAAATTTATAAAAGTTAACACTGTATTCAGAGATAATTTAAAATGGTTTGCTTTATGAGCAGAATGATTTTAAATTGAATACAGAAAATTTTTGATGAAATTAAAGGAAAGTTGACAGTTTTATTTGGCTGTTTTACTTACAGTTGGTGCGTTGGATTTTACAGTTTGTTAATCCAACGTCTCGGTTGATGTGGTTTTAAGTTTTGATTAGATCCGTAATTTATACGTGATTTTAAGCTATTATTGATTTTTAATTCTTATCTGAATTTTAATTGATTTTAATTTAAGCGGTGAAGACCAATGTTTTGGCAAACATTCACTGCGGTTTAAATAACGCGGCTATACAGAATATGATGTAAATTCTCTATAACGAATTAGGATGTTAGTAGTATCACTTGTCAAGAATGTTTGTAACGGATATTTAAACTAATTTACGACACGCACAAAGTCTTAGAACGTTTGGAGCCGCGAATGCTCTATAGAAAATGCCGTGTGAAATCGTTCAGAGAATCCGGCGCCAAATGTCGTAGCGCAAAACTCTGTTGTTATAATTTTAGGTTTTTGTCTAAATAACGACCAATCCTGAACTTCGTCGGAGGGCAGGCGGCGATCGAACGCGTATTGGAACCACCGGGATTACGAAGGGAAAAACACGTTTTGGAAGTCAATGTTTCGACACGTTCCTCACGCTATATAGTTTAACCCAAAATCCGGAGCCGTGACTGTGGTCCGATTTTGTTAGAAGAACGAGAATTAATTCGGTTATTAAGACGGTTAGTTAGGGAAACTGAAGGTTTCTGCAGGTTATCCGCGACTGAGGCTTGATTGTTAAAAATGATAGCCGTTGAATTTTATTAGGGCGTTGGCCGGGGTTTTGGTGGGAGTGAAATTTGTAGTTGGGGGAAGAATTTTGAGGTGGCATGAGGGTCACGTGGTTTTGTAAATTTTGCGGATTAAGGGAAAATTTCTTTGGACGTTCAATCGACGTGTTGCCATCGAAATTCCGGGGCTGATGACCTTTGCCATTCAGCACTTTTAACTTAGCGTTCGGGCGTTTTAACGTGTTTTAGGAATAAAATAATAATTTATTTTGAGTATGGGAAATTTATAAAAATTTGAAAATTATTTAAGACGGATATTACAAATTATTCATATGAGGGTAACTGAGTACTTTCGTTTGTGAAATATAGATATGATATGATAAGTTCAATTTTTTTTTCATCTGATACTGGACGGAATAAGTATCCAAATTTCATTTTTGTCTCATTTTTCTTCCAAGTTTCATTTTTGTTCCATTTGTTTACGATAGATATTGTACTCAATAAATCTTCGTTTTATGTCTGTTCCTGGATATTGATGTTTTATTCTTGCTTCCAAATGAAAGGTTTTTTTGTAGATTTTTTCATACTCCTTCAAACTTGAAAAGATAATTTATTGTGATTTTTTATTTATTTTGGGGGAGATAGCAGGAGAAAAAATCGAATGATCGATCTTCTATGGATCGAGTTTTTAGGGCTCGATCCGATCTAGAATCGATCCTCTATGAGCCGATTCGGATCGATCCGAAAAATCGATCTTTTTTGGAAGATCGAGAAACACTATCCTGCGGATCTTCCTTGCTGCGAGGCTTCTGTGATGCTTCACCGTGTTGCAGTCGTTCTCTTCGGCCGCCATTCAACGCTCAGCTCAGAACTGGCACGGACTAGGGGTATCCGACTGTCTAATTGAAACAAAGCATTGCGATGGTCCTCGCGGGTGTTGACGCAATGTGATTTCTGCCCAGTGCTCTGAATTTCAACGTGAAGAAATTCAAGCGAGCGCGGGTAAACGGCGGGAGTAACTATGACTCTCTTGTCGGAGACGGACGCCTAATGTGTGCTCTCGTGCCTTTCGCAGTCTTTTGTGCAATTAAAGTGGTCTGATTAAACTAAAAAGTATATTAGAATGTTCGCCTTGTCGAACCGGTGATTTTGATATAATTAATTAGTCGATTAATTAATTGTACAGCCACTAATTAGTGAATTTGGCAGTTAAGTGCTTGCCGTGGGACATGGACTTATGTGTTGTTTTTGGCCTAGCTCGTTTCTCGTGTTTCGATCTAGAGACCTAGAAATTATCGCAAAGTGTTTGTCTCGCTGAGTGCTTCAATTTGATATAATTATTGACCTGACTAATTATGCGTACAACCAGTAATTAGTGTCTTTTTCAGTTCAGTGCGTGGCTTGGCAATGACTTGAGCATTATTTCACCTCCGCCATCTTTGTGACATAAGCATTAGATCTTCGTGCGTGGCGCCTTCTAGCGAAAGTCTCGTTACCTTATGCAACATTATCTTCTCAGTGCTTCTCAGTGCTTCTGTTTTATCAAGTGACACTTTTTATCGACCTGCAGTCAGTTACCCGAGGCTGGTTGTTTGGATCGCTTCAGCGCCATCTGGTGGCCAACCGAGGCCCCGAAGCGGCACCTTAACATCCTGAATTACCATCCGCGGCCAGGTTACCCTGCCACGTGAAGGACTTACCAAACGTGGCACCCGAAGGCATCGACGGATGTTTCGCCCTACTAGTCCCGCGGGCTACAAGGGTATTCCAACTAACGCCATTTGAATTTTCCTGTGTTACCGGCACATGAAACATATCTACTCCGCACAAGGCTTTTTCAAAACTTTCATATTTAATTCAAATAATCCTCTCAAATCATCTCCATAATCCATCAGTGTAATATTCCCCTGGTTTCTTTAATTTTATTTAGTGATTAGAGCAGTCTTTTATCTCTTTTTTCAAATTATTAGGTGATTCTGTTGATGGTGGATAATTTGATGCCATTAATGGTAATATGACTTTTGACTCTATGAATGTTGGTTGTCCATCACCACATCAGTGAGTGACTTTGTGCTTGTGACCAGTGGCTCGTGACTCTTGCCTCTCACAAGTTGTTCTTTGTGTCTTTTGTTTATTGCTCCCCGAGATCAGTGTCTCCTCAGTCGAGAGGTGTAGGAGCCTGTCTCCTAGGTGACCCTCACCTGGTATTGAGTCACGGCCCCCCCCTAAACCCCCTCCCAAATCAAAAGGTCTCCTTCAGCGTAGTGGTCAGACCGAACCCTCAGCTCCCGCGGATCAGAGGGATCTGGACGATTACTTTGTTGATCTGACAAGGAATGTTCCGCCTATTGCAACCCCAAAGCAACACGGTGCTTCACAACGCAGGCTCAGTTTCCACAAGGACAGCCCCGGTATGAGCGATCTCAAGGATAAAGAGCAGAAAGACAATGTGGCAAATTCGGCGCCGCACTTCAGAACAATACCACTGGAACCCCCAGAGAAAAAACAAAAGGTCACGTAAGGCGTCTAGCTCACTCCCAGCTCTCGAGAGGGAGGAGGACTTGCCGCTTGACTACGCGGATTTGGATCGAATGACGGACGAGATGGACGCTCACTGGCAAAGAGTCAAACTAGAGTTTGACAGGACGAACCTCAACGATAACGACATCCCGGGTCTCCCGACCATCGTCTCAGCCATGGAATTCTACAAACTGACTGCTGAAAAATTGATGCAGGCCTACACAGTCATTGCTGTTCGTACTGTGAAAACTGAGGCTTTCGCTCGTGAGGTCCTGTCCGTGGTCAGGGAGTCGTCTTCGGGCTCAGGCTTCAAGGCTGATCAGGCTGGAATCTCGGAGCTGGTTCGCTCGTGCGTCAAGGAGGAGATGCGTGGTGTAGTCAGAGAGGAAATTAAGGCTGCTCTTCCTGTACAGCCCATAGAAATGGACACTGATGGAGTTGGTGCTCAGCACATGACCTACATGAAGCAGTCCCTCAGAGATGAAATGAACAGCATGTCTGAAAAATTTGAGGAATTATTCAAAGCTGCCCCAAGCTCACACGGTCACTCCTATGCTGAACTCTCTGAAGTAGGAGCCTCGTCTGGTGGGACAGTCATTCGTGTCGCCGCAGATAGCGAAGTTGTTGTGAGGAACGAGAAATCTGTGATCATCGTGCCCCTGGCGAAATGCGCAAGCAGGTTCAAATCATCAGAGGATGTCAGAAAGGCTCTAACAACCTCCATTAAGCCCTCGCCATTTGGTCTGAGGGTTGAAAATCTCATCAACCTGAGAGACACTGCGGTGAAATGGGTGATCGTCGCAGGAGACTTGGAAGCCCTCATAAAGTCAGACGCCCTGAAAAGCTGTGGCCTCAAAGCCGGAGAAACTCGCAAGGTTAACCCCAGACTGCTGATCCATGACATCCCAGCAAACTCCAGTAACGATGAAGTCATCCAGAGCCTTCGGGACAGCAATCTCCCAAGGAGCCTGACTGGTGAGATCAAATTCATATATAAATACCCTGTTAATAAGAGTCACTACGAGTATGGTTATTGAGGTCCCACCAGAGATTCGTGCCGAGCTGATGAAGAATAGGAAGATTTTTATTGGCTATGCCAGGTGTTGCATTGCGGACCATATTTGCATCCTTCAATGCTTCAAATGCCTCGACTTTGGTCATCTGTCCAAGGAGTGCAAGGTGCCGGACGAGGTCTGCGGTCACTGTGCATGCGTTCACGAGACGAGAAAGTGCAACAATAGGGATGCTCCATGCTGCGCGAACTGTAAGATGGCGAAGTTAGACAGGACGGACCATTCGGCTCTCGACAAAGTTAACTGCCCCATCCTGGCACGAAAGATCGCGGAGAGAGCACGAGCGATAAAGTTCATGCCCGATGTCCGATAATATGACTAATAGTCATCCGAGACGAGAGGTGGGGAGTGACGTCCTGCCGGCGCCTGTAGGCGCACCTCTTGCTCTTACGCAACGGCGTTCTTCCGGCCGCGGTCAACATCTACGCGATATCCAAGTAACCAGTCCAATGGCCTCCACTGGAGGCCCCCTCACCGAGAATTCAATTAATCTAACTGAGAATGGAGTTGTTGGTGGTATTTCTAAACCATCAGTCGGTGAGCATCGTAGTATAAATAATGATACGTTAATTTGTGTTGATCCCACGGATGAGGCTCCCGTCACACGCAACGAAGTCAATATCTCTGAATTTCCATGTCCACACTGCGATAGGTCTTTTCCGTCACTAAGAGGTCTTGGGGTCCATAGATCGAGCAAGCACCCCGTGGAAAATAATGACAGGATTGTGACTGAGAGGACGAAGATGAGATGGAATCCCGAGTATCTCAGGATGCTAGCCCACGCAGAAGTCAATGCTCCCCCTAGTGTCAGGTTCATGAACGAGTATCTGCTCAGAGTTGCAGGAACAGGACGGACCCTGGAATCCATGAAGAGTCAGAGGAAGAGAGAGACGTACAAGGAGCTGGTAAAATCCTTCAGAGAACAAATACGAGCAGATTCCATCGCGGGTTCTAGTGAGATACATCCGATGCCTGCTCCGCCAGACTCGGTCCCGGTCTCCGCTACTCCTCGCCCAGTTGTAGCTATACACGAGAGGCACATATCAGCATAGCAGTCATCCCCTGAGAACATAGCTGTAAGTTCATCGAACGAAGCGATGAGACGACACTTGGAGGAAGAGAGGATGTTTCTGCTCCGAGGAGGCTGCAGTTTGAAAGGCTCGGCCATGTTATGTGAGGTCATTCAGTCTACACTGGTAGGCGGTGACCCGAAGACTTCACTGATGCGGTGGTTCTATGTGGAATTCCCTAAACTGGCAAATGAAGCCTCACGCCATCGACCGAAGCCACTGGCGCCCAACGTCCAACCATCAAAGCACAAGCAGAGGCGGAATGACTACGCGGGAACTCAGGAATTATGGAAAAAGAATATGTCGAAGGCAGTGAGTAAAATTCTGGACGGTGATACTGATAAAGCCCCTCACCCCGACTTGAGGACTCAGGAGCGTTTTTGGCGGCCGATCTTCGAAGAACGAACGGAAAGTTTCTTCCCAGCACCTGCGGGCATCACTAGTGACCTTGCATTCGAGAAGATCTGGGACACCATTACCAGGAAGGAAGTCGTTGAGTGTCGGCCTGATGGCAAGTCTGCAGCTGGCCCGGACAGGCTTAAATCGAGTGAGTGGCTGAAGTAGGTTCCCGAGAGGATGAAAGCCCTAATCTTCAACATCATCCTCATATCCGGTCGTGTCCTCTCCGCATGGAGGAACAGCAGAACCATCCTGATTCCCAAAGGACCTGGAACAATGGACCCAGCTAAGTTTCGCCCAATCTCCATAGCTTCTATCGTACTGCGTCATCTTCACAGGATCCTTTCCAGCCGTCTTCTTGATGAGCCTCTATTGGATGAACGGCAGCGTGCCCTCATAAGAGCAGATGGATTAGCGGATAATGTTTTTGTGTCAGCTTCAGTAATTGACGACTCTAGAAACAGTCTGAAGGAGGTTCATCTAGCAGCGATTGATGTGAAGAAGGCGTTTGACACGGTTTCACATGCAGCCATCGAGCACGTGCTCTTGGACAAGAAACTTCCGATGATGTTCGTCGACTACGTGATGAACATCTACCGTAGGTCTACGACTGTCCTAGAGGTCGACGATCAAACATCAGCCGATATTCATTTAGGGCAGGGAGTAAGGCAAGGCGACCCTGTTTCGTCGATAATCTTTAACTTGGTTATCGACGTGATTTTGAAGCGCTGTGACGTAATTTCCAAGGTTCACGGAACCCCTCGGTCCAATACGCAGCCCTCTGGCACTCACGTAGAAACTAAAATGACAAAAAGTTGAGCGCCAGATCGTTTTTACCAGAACGACCACTGGAACGAAAGAAACAAAATCAAACTAGCCCTAAGCTCGAAACGGTCTCCCACTAGCTCCAGACGAAGAGACGTGTATCGGTTCCTGAAAGAGCTTAGACTGGAGATGTGTGTTATGCCCCAAATAACATTCCAAAATTCAACTGCTTATTCGAATAACATGAAGTGACGAAAGTGGCACAAGTTATTCGAAACAAACAGTGGAATGAAGAAATATACAGATAACTGGGGTGCAGCGTCAGCACTTTGCGCCCCGACGACTGGCCTTCGCGTACACCGGGAAGACGTCACCCGATGCCTTGCAGGTGTGCGACGAAGAACAATGACCTGATGCAATCGTATTGCATGAGGTGATAAAAACTCGTGTAATCGTTGTCTCGGGGCCAGTTACTTGTCTATTCTTTGATTACCTTCTTTATACTTTATACTCGCTTGATACATTCAGTATCAAACCGAGTTTTATTTATTCAATAACTTTTAAATTAATGATTAAAAAACCAATTCCCAATAAAGTAATTATTTCTATTAACTGCCCGCGTGTAATTCATCTCTAATTGAACTCAACCGCTCGGGTCCATTACATATTTTTGTGGCAGCGTTATTTTGGGAAGACGGAGGCCTGATCAACCACTGTCTAATTACACAGTGATAGAGAACGAGATATTATTTAAGGAATTGGACTATTTGAGGGTAGTCTGGCCTGCACGTGTAACGACTCTTCCATCGAGGGAGCGAGAAGATTACCTATTAGGTGAACCAGCTGAAGATTTTCGTGGACCTTTTCATCGAGGGAGCGAGAAGATTATTACCTTCGAGGTAATCANCTTCTGGAATCCGAGCGGCTTCGTCGAGAGGAGGCTGAAAGGGAGAGGAATGACGTGAGAGACCGNCTGATCAACCACTGTCTAATTACACAGTGATAGAGAACGAGATATTATTTAAGGAATTGGACTATTTGAGGGTAGTCTGGCCTGCACGTGTAACGACTCTTCCATCGAGGGAGCGAGAAGATTACCTATTAGGTAAACCAGCTGAAGATTTTCGTGGACCTTTTCATCGAGGGAGCGAGAAGATTATTACCTTCGAGGTAAACAAGCCGAAGATTTTCGTGGACCTTTTCATCGGGTGCGCGAGAGATTAGCCATAGTGGTTAACGGCAGAAACCTACCCTACTACATATTCGTAATAAAAGGGCTAGTACAGTGGAAACCTAGTCTGACAGAAGGGACTAGTATCGAGTAGTAGCTACGCAAGTAAGATTATTTTATTTTTTTTGGCCAAGAGATAAATAATCGGTATGTCAACTCCAGGAGGTAGTCGACAAGAAAGTGAGTTTGATTCCTATTCTCTCTCTGCGCCGGGAGCACGGAGGAATCTATTCAACTCAGATGGGGAGATTGACAGAAATGTTAATCTGCGCCGAAGATATACCCAATCTTTGCATCAAAGCATGTTAGTCGCTAATCAGCGACAGGTACGGGCCGAGGTTCACCGGGACGCTGGGGACGAGTTACCGGACGAATTACCTGGGGCTGGGCGCGGCAATAGCACGCAAAGAAGTAACGGGAGAATCTCAAATTCCCCAAATAATGTACGTCTTTACCCTGCTAA